TCAGCAGATGAAGCTGAAGGAGCACCACTACCTGAGGGCTAGAAGGAGGCTTACGACCGTGTGACAGAGTAGCGATGCTTCTTGCGGTAGTGCTGGTGGGAAGAATCGGCTCTGATATTGACGATGAAGGAAAGCGAGGACCTATCGTTCACCTATATCAAGTAATGGATATTGAGTCACTATTTGCGAATGTATCCCACTAGCATATCTTGGTCGTAGTCAGCAAGCCTTACACTGATGAATACAGTAGACAGAGGTCAGGCGACTTGCAACGCAAATGTCAATCTAATGTAAGAGTCGAGAGAGGCACTAAAGAGTCCAAATACATAATGTACTCGGCACTATGCAGTGCCACGATGCGTGCCCCGCATCTCAAGATTTCTCCACCCCGGAACATTCACTTGCAGACGGTTTCTGCGCCCAGGGATGATGCATGGTCAATGACTGATTGACTGATTGACTAAGTGACGTTGATCACGGGCCGCGACTTCGCGTCGACGATTTCCAAGCCCCAGAACGTAGCCGAACGCAGTCAATGAACCGCTCCAGGATATCCAGCAGGTCTCTACGTCGGTATATAAGTGCAGAACCTCCTAGAGTGCCGAGCAGACTTCCACTTGCCCCGCGACCAGCGATCAGACAGTTGAGAAAGCAGTCTACCATGGCTTTGAATCTACCAAAATGGTATGTCGAGTTGCACAGCGAGATGCCGGGGCCTCCGTTCCATGAGCCCATGAGCTCGACAAAGCCCAGGATGTACGTTGCCTGACAGGTCGTTTTAGGTTGAAGGACAATTCCCACCTCCTCAAGCCTCCCATCAACAATTACTGCGTGTATGCGCCCTCGGCCTCGACAGGCGGCCTCACCGTCATGGTTGTTGGCGGGCCAAACGCCCGTACTGACTATCATATCAACACCACGCCCGAGTTCTTCTACCAGCATAAAGGCTCCATGCTGCTGAAGACCATGGACACGTCAACAACACCGCATACACCCGTCGACGTCCCCATTCACGAGAACTCCATGTTCCTGCTCCCTCCAAACACGCCGCACAACCCCGTCCGGTTTGCAGATACAGTGGGCGTCGTGCTGGAACAGCCCCGCCCAGAAGACTCTGTCGACACACTGCGGTGGTACTGCAAGACTTGTAACAACATCGTCCATGAGGCAAGCTTCCATCTGACAGACCTGGGTACGCAGATCAAGGAAGGTGTGTTGGCCTTTGAGAATAATACGGACGCCCGGACGTGCAAGAACTGTGGTACAGTCGCGACTTCAAAGCCAGCTCCCGGTGAAATCCAACAACCTCCGAGGTTCCCGGAGGACTGATTGGGGGAAAAACTGTCACCCGGCTGCAGCCATTGTTGAGGAGATCCCTTGGTCGTCTTCTGTCTCGATTGGCGGTACGTGTATACTATGCTTTTCAACAATGATTTGGTCGAGCACGGTTTCTGCGACTTTGAGCGCTGTTGGAGGCATCCCGGCCAATTTCGCGACTTTGAGTGCATGGGACTGTCTATTGATACCCCTCTTCAGGCGGTGCATGAAGGTGAAGGATCCGCTGTCCTCCTCAAGCACGTCGGTGCAGTAACATGCCAGCTTCGGCCAGTCTCGAGTCATATCTGCCAAGGCATGGAAATGGGTCGCAAACAGTGTCCGACATTTGTTGGTATAGTAAAGGTGATGTAGGCTTGCATAGCCGACTGCCGTACCGTCTTCCGGAGTGGTCCCTCGTCCGACCTCGTCCATGATCACAAATGACTTGGACGTAGCATGCTTCAAGATAGCTGCTGTTTCAAGCATTTCCACCATGAAAGTAGACTGGTCTCGGAACAAATCGTCTGCGGCCCCAATGCGACTGAAGATCTGGTCAACGAGCCCAATCTCCGCGTGCACAGCGGGCACATATGACCCAGCTTGGGCGAGAATTATGAGCAAGGCATTTTGTCGTAGAAAAGTGCTTTTCCCGCCCATGTTTGGACCAGTCACCAGCCATACTCTTTCATTGTGGTCTAGCACAAGGTTGTTGCTGACAAAAGATCTCCCCTGCTCCTCAAGGCCCAGCTTGACTGTTGGGTGTCGTCCACCAATAATCTTGAGCTCTGTGCCAGAACTGAGGATAGGTCGAACCCATTCCTGCTCTCTAGCCAAGGTAGCGAAGCCGCTTGCCACGTCCAACTCGTCCATGACGGCAGCGTTGTGCCGCAACTTCACAAGATTTTTAATAACGAGCTGCCTTAAGCTAGTAAAGATTCGTTTCTCCTCGTCTCGGATGTTGGTGATTGCTTGGTCGATCTGACGACCAAGTCGCGTCCAGTCTGTCAGGTAAAAGGATCGAGTGCTCTTTGACGAAGAGACCATCCTGGCATGCAGTGCTTCTAGCGCCTCTCGATCGAAGCCAGTGGCGCTGCGAATGTGACAGATGTGACCCAGGCCGGGCGTGGATTTGAGAATAAGAGTCGGCGCACGTAGCTGCTTGCGAAGCCCGTCTGCGAGGTTAGCCTTTTCGACGTGGAGGGCGTCAAGGTCTTCGTGCAGACGCAGCAGTGTTTCGGTGGCACCACGACGCATGATCCATGGCTCTTCAAGCTCGATTTCTTCCCTTTTCGCGTCGTCAGATCTGCTCCTTGTGCGAACCGCCTTAGGAAGCGAGTCTACTTCATGTGGAGCAGTCTGTAAGACCACCTCATGCGCCAGAGCTGCGACATCTGCTGCTTCATCCTCTTCCAGCCGATGTTTCTGCATCAAGCCTTCTTCGTCGATTGCTGAGGCTATTTTGTTCTGCAGCTCTACTGGGTCCTCCAAATCCAAGCGCTGTAGAAGTCTGTCAAGGCAATGGGAAACAGGCGCCTCTTGCCTAGGCTCCATCATCGCACTCCTGGCACTAACAGCTGGTCGCAGAAGCTCATTCGTTGCAACGGTTTCGGATATGGCACTGGCTAACGACAGCATGTCGTCAGCATCGCCTTTGTTGAGGGCAAATTTCTGCACGATGCGCTGCACATCGAACATGCGCCGTAGACGGAAGATCAGAGACTCAGTGAGTTCTTGGTTCTCGACGAAGGTGGTGACGAGCTCAAGCCGATCATCAATCTCTGTTAAAGAGGCAGAAGGAGATGTTAGACGATCGCGCAGAAGGCGAGCGCCACTTTTAGTTGACGTTCTCTTGACAGCGTGGAAAAGACTGCCCTTCCCGAAGCCTTCTCGAGAGGTCTCGAGGATCTCCAGCCCTCTCAGGCTGTTCCGGTCAATGTTCAACATTGCATGGAGCTCCCTCTGACGTGGTGGTTGCAAACGAACCTGAAGACCTTGCAGTCGATTGCGCACATAATCAAGCAGTTGATGGCCTGCAACCTTCTCACCAATGGTAAAAGAGTCGTCAGCATTGTCGGAGACTGGAGACTCTAGCATTTGGCTCCACTCGCTCATGGACACAAAATCACTGCCTGTTTGATGTAACGTGAGCAGACGATGGTCATGGCCCACGATGTTCTGCACCTCTTCACGAATGTCCTCGGACACATCGGCCGGGAGGATAATTTCGCGAGGAGCAATGCGTGCTAACGCCGAGGACAAAGAGCTTCGAAGGGTTGTTTGTGTGTAGAAATCACCCGTCGATAGATCCAGCCATGCGAGCCCAATCTTCCCTTCCGGCTCTGTTTCCGGCGCATTACCCTCACCGGCCGCATTCAAGGTAGACACAAAGGTCTCGGGATGGACAGACAGCAGAAAGTTGTATTCGTAAGGATCCAGGAACTTCTCGTCAATGAGCGTGCCTGGCGTGATCACCCGTGTTACCCGTCGATCGTGCTTTAAACCGCCCGATTTGACCTTCCCGGAAGTTTGAACCAGGAACTCTTCACAGATGGCAACGTATTTGTTCAGGTCTTTTACCAGCATTTTCAGAAATCTGTCCAGTTGAAAGAAGGGAAAGCCTGCCATTGCCACAGGACCCAGCTTCGTTTGCTTGTAGCCAACCTTGAGATTGAGAAGCGGCCCACACTCTTCTGCCTGCTCGAAATACAGTTCGTAAAAGTTACCAACTCTTGTGAGGAGCACGCAGCTGTCAAACTTCGCCATATTGGACTTTGCTCCTTGGAGCACAGTCGGGTATTGAGGTTCATCGTCGGGAGGTAGTTCGGGAAGAGATTCAGCCTGGATTTCGCCCTGTTGTAGCTCTTTCACCTTCTTCCTCGTCACCGTCTTTACGCCTCTGAGCTGGCCGTGGGTGGTAATGGAGCGGGTTGAGGCTGGTGATATCGTTTGAGCAGGAGGTCTTCGAGACAGAGGCAGGGGCCGCGGGGAGATAATGCTTTCTAGCCATCGGAGGTCTCGGCCATTGAGTGATCTCGTGAATGGCCGCATCACCCTGCTTTTGGTGGAGGTGAAAGCCGCGTCGAGACGAAAGATTGACGCGATCGGGAAACGCGTCGAATGCTCGCACGAGACGCTGTTGGCGAAGCGGAAAGCTCCGTCCTTCGATCTTCAAGCAAATGTCAACCTCTTACTGTAGTGCCCTTCTTCCGCCATAAACCCAGGTGATCATTGGGAGAAACTGAAGCCAGACTGGTGCTTGTTGTCGGTAGGTAGTCAACACTGCCTTTCATGGCGATTCTTGAGATGTGAGCTGCTTTTGAAACAATGAGCTCAAGTTGGAGCAAGTATCACAAGGTAGATATGATTGAGGCTATTGTGGGAGATCAAAGAGATCTGAAACTATCAGCTAGGAAGATCAAGAGATGTCCTTGTTGAAGGCTGACAAGCTCTAGCAATCGATCGAACGCAATACAATGTCCTCTGAGAGACCGGCAGAGGCTCTGTCGCCGTCACGCCAGCCTCGCTCCGACCCTCACTGCCTCACTTCTATAAAGGCAGTGAACCTTGGCGAACTGAACGAGCGTTGACTCTTGATATGGCTACTTTTCCTCCTGGACAATCGCTGCTCCTCTTCGTTCTGTCAGCGCTGCAGTCAACGCTCAATTTGCAGATACTTTCCAAGCATGGATGGTGTCTGCATCGGGTGTAGATTCCTGTGGCCGGACGTTCCAGGCCGCTTCTGTGCTGGATGCGGTCAAAAGCTGTTCATGCGTCCGGTTAGAAATGCAGCTCCTCCAGAGGCCAGCAGTGCCCCGGGCCAGGCGGCGGCTTCCAGCGAACCTCAGATGAGTGTCCAACTCAATCCTTTCCGCCTGGCAGCGAACAACACCCATCACCAGGACAATAACAGCGAGGTGAGCTCTGCAGGCATGGCGGTAGAGCACCAGACGAACCTCCTATCCATGTCGCGGCCACCAACTGCGCACGGCAGACTACAGCGGGACAAGACCACATCTGTCGGTCTGAGACCGCTGTCTCCTATGGAAGGAGTTGAAGTTGCTCACAACCCAGGGGAAAGAGCCTTACAGCCACGGAACCATCCGGGTCCACCAGTTGCACCGAGTCTGCCGGTCGCCGAGATCACCGCGAATTCAAACGGCAGCTCTATGCCGGCCGGTAGAGAAAGAGCAGATGCCAGCGACGAGGTGCGTGGGACCCTCCCCACCGAGAACCCAAGGAGGTTTGCCCGAGCTCGTCCAGCTTTGGCAGAACACGTGGTGATCGATCTCGAAGAGAGTGGACCCCTTGCATCAGGCTTATCCTCCTCCCAAACCAGAGATGCAAGATCTAGGTCGCCGCCGAAGGCCCGTGATCTAGATGACGGAGCTGACCACGGCCGGTACAGAGAACGAGATCTACGTTGTCAGAGCTCTTCACGTCCTTTACCTCCCCAGCAACCGGCTCTCTACCGAGATTCTCTGCAATGGAGAGTTTTCCTGGAAAAGTTTCATGCAAGCTCTCCGACCGACCGCCTTCCTACACTGGCAAGCTTCTGGGACGAATTCTATGAGAAAGAGAGCATGGGATATACCTGGCCTCCGACGACGATGGTACACATCAAAGACCTTGCGCATCGGTTGATCACGCACTTCAACACCTTCAATTCCGTTGTGAGAAAGCGAGATGAGTTTCTCTCAGAGGTGGCCCGCTACCTAGTCACTGCGGTCACCCAGCCGTGCTATAGGGCATGGCAGTTACGAAGAGTGGAATGCAACAACACAACTCACCGGTATTTGATGGACTTGCTGGTGTTCTCTCACGACTTACAGTGGTTCCTAATACGAAAGCCGTTGCCGGGGGCTGGAGCCAAAGCGCCCTCGAATGCTGAATTTGCTCGCTATCTCTTTTCCATCCGGCACCAGCGGGCGACAGTGCAGGTCGACCAGCAGGAATTTCCAAAAGTGCTTGGTTTTAATTAACCAATACCGTGACAAATACAGGAACCAGAGAGAGAGAGAGAGCAGTGGAAAAGCTACACGAGGACATGGAGTGAGTTCACCTACCTAGTCATGACCAGTGGTCCCAGGACCCTGGATCGTCGACTGCCCCCGACTATTCCAAATTTACGTCTCAAACTAACAAGAATGCAGTACTCACGCAGGAAAAGATCGCACCTCCAAGAAGATCCAAGAGTATTTCCAATGCCTACAGAATCTAATGCCACGTCCCGGAAGAAAGCTTTTCCTGAGGTCTATCTCACCCGACGACTTTCCGGTGCCAGATGTTGCTCTGATTGCAAAACGTTGGCATGAACACAACGACTGAATGGTATGGAAAGATGTCTCGCGAAAAAGACAGAATCCTCTGCTGGTTGAAGAGTGCCTTTGGAAATAGGGCAAGCATTTATCGGCAACTGATCCCACCGTGGACTACTGCTCTAAGCCTAGCGATCTCCACTGCTGTAGGTGGCAGACCCTGGTAGGAGAAGCGTCTTTGGCTGAAAGTCGAGTATGTCATGGGGATACTGAAATCGAACCGGGAAAGGTTTGACTGAGTGATGTGGATCTAACTTGGTTCACACCGGATCGATTGAATGTCAGATGGACAGACTCCTGCGTACGATGCTGGCGGAGAACAGGACATAGATTGGCATGGGGCGTTGTGACCAACGTGTGTACCTCATGGAGTGTTCAACAGAATACTGAAAGCTCAGAATCGAAATGCATGGACAGAGCAGCATCAGTAAATGGCGTGGACCTGCAACGGGCTTTTACTGTATGTAAGCTTGACGAAACCACGACAAGCTAGAGCCACTATCTGAGGAGTTTGACTTTCCGTGAATGGCAGGTGCAGCTGTATATACACTTTTCGCAGTGTCTTCTCTACTTACACAGAATGCAGTCTGAGCGTGTCTGAGGTACCTAGGTACCGTGGGAACCTGGGAACCTGGGTACCTGGGTAAGGTATTGTGGGTATGTACCTATGGCGCGCCGTAGCAACGCCATTACAACCTCTCGGATAACCTTCCCAGTCACCGTGGTCCAAGTAGATTTGTCGGTGCGTGGTCGATTTTTGCTTGCAAACTGACAGCATACTATCTATTCTACCGTGAGACCATCGGTTCAACAGCGACCCAGGGAAATAAAATGTGCGACATTCGTTCTTGTTGACGTTTTCCCATACATTATTGTGTCGCCGTCACGGAGAGACGGGCCGAGAAAGCTCAGACCCTGTGTGCTGGACACTGGCTGAAATCATACCGACAAAACAATATTTCCAAGATTGAAAGATTGTAACGAGACTCGAAACATGAGACTCTCATTTCCTATGCGAGGCAGACTTCCCCGTGTTCTGTGAGGAAAATAAGGATTTCAACAGAGGTTGACAATATCTTCAAACCACCAGTGTTTCCATTGAGAAGGATTAGAAAGAAGCGAAGATTGAATATCTCTTCAGGTACCGAGTATCACTAGCAATTACCTACAGCGCCAATGATTCGAGTCCCTATATACCATATGCCACCCTCATTCTATGCACAGAGCCATGCCTGCCAAGCACCCATGCCGTGCAGGAACCTCGTATCCGTGCTCGGCTGCCTTTTTAGGACATGCCATCATGCCTTCAGCTTTCAGCCGCTCGACCTCAGCTGTGCCCAACTTGTTGGTATCATCTGAAGATCTCGAGAGTCTACAGAATTCTGTGGTCAGTTACTGTGCAACCCCTGGCAGGGGACAGCTCAACCGTCTGTGCTGTTCCTAACAGAGTCCCCAACAAGCAAGTCCAGCAGCCAGACGCAGACATGAAGAAGTTGGTCAACCGATTCAAGAAGAGGGAGCCACGGAAACCTGATACCGAGCGCGGCGCTGATGGAAAGATACTCCAAGACCCTGCTCTACGAGAGCCTCACGAATGTGGTGCCCCCAACAAAGCAGTCGAAGCCGCCGAGCCTGGTGCTATTGGGACTTACTCAGGCTTTGATGACTGGCTCTCGAGCTTCACCCCTACAGCTCCAACAGCCGCAGAACTCCCTGACGAAAAGGTGCATGATACTTCTAAATATCAACCTGCCCGGCAGCCTGAGGTGACGATAGAGTATACCTCTCAAGGTGGGTACAAGTGTGGCGTTCCCAGAAATCCGTGGTCCTAATGTAACCTACGATTGCCGCAGTTCACCTAGATGACTTGATCACGATTATCTTAGATGGAGTCCGCAAGCCCAATTATCCTGGAGAATTCGTCGCAAGGCTGTTGATCCCGATTTACTTCACACTCCAGCAGCTCAATGACCTGCTGCTGGACAACGGTAAGCCCGCCATGATGTATAGCTTTCGGCTAGCGTCCTAAATCAAATCTAGGATTCGCCCCAGTTCTCGCAGCACAGCGCCAAGGTTGCGATGGCTTCAGCGGCCAGGGGCTTCATGGACATTGGACTGCGATGGTAGTCAACGGACCGTCTTGTTACTCCAGGAAATATGGGCTTCGCATCAATGCGGCTGAGGCATTCTCTACCTACCTGACTGGCTTAGAGAAAGTACGCGTGGAATGTAGGGACTCGTGTCTTCTGATCAACGACGCCGAGATGGTGATCTCCTTTCAGCGAACGCTTCGTCTGCCGGATGACGATCAGGTGTACGACCTACCGGAAGGATTCGGCAAACTACCTCTCTTCAACATCTCGAGCTTCTCAAAGAAGCTGAACGACGCGAAAGACCCCAACGTGAAGACTATCTCCAAAAAGGGCGGCGTTTTCCTACCTCTGTATCAGCGAGAGGCTACTTGGATCAAGTTTGACACACGCAGTTCACCGAAACCTTTCGCCGTACGTGTCTTTGTGGGCGGCATTAACGCAATCTCGGGTCGTTCCTGGGATGCACCTAGAGGTAAAGGCGACCAAGACTATATCACCGTGCCGCCCCAGGAATGTCTCGATGGAATTGCCATAGATCACCAAACGGTTCGACAATTCGTCGCCATGCCACTCGGCAGCGGCTACTCGATCGAACAACAAATGACTGGTAAAGAGGACATGGGGGGCTTTCAAATGGAAATTACTCCATCCGGTTCACAGCTTCGACTCTCGCGAGTTGAATGGTCTTCAACTGAGCTGAAGGCTGCGTCATCTCCTGCAAGCGAGGCAATGATGCCAGGCGATCTGGTGAGGGTCTCTGAGCCCTCAACTAGCCATCACATGATGCGGTCCTCAGAAGATACAGGCCGCTATTCCCCCTTTTTGAGAATTTACTACTTTCAAGGTCTGGCCGCCTCGGGAGATGGACACAACCAGTGGCGATCCGGCTGCCAGCTTCAGATGACAGCTCTCTATGCCCTGAATTTATGCATCAGATTCTATGATCTGGACCGACTACCATCCAGGCACTTCATAACACAGGTGCACATCGAAGCCAAACCGTGGGAAACTCTGTTGTCTGTTCTTTGCCAGATCGATAATCACGGACTAGAAGACTATCACAGAGATTCCTACTTATACCAAAACCGCCTCGTCGACGACGTGCAAGTCAACAAACTTGGGATCAAGGACGGCGAGGTGCTTGACATCTTCCGCCGCGCGAAAGACGTGCAACTTTCAAAGTCATGGTCCTTTGCTCAGGCGCCGACGAAGAGTTTGTCAAGAGAAGGCAAAGGGACGCCCACGCCCCACCCGGGCGTTACGTTAGGCACAGGAAGGTCCGGCTGGGACATGGTCATTGCGCCAGGAGCTCGCTTGCGCCAAAAGATCTACAGAGATCCATGGCCACCAGGTATCTGGAGACGAGAACAGAGCGTCCTCGTGCCGATTCAGATACTCAATTCCGTCGCCTTCGAGAGCTTGACGGGTATGCTTCCGCCACCCACACCAATCACTGCTGAAGCGTACGTCAAAGCAGGCATTCCGTTCTACACCACTGGCGACGATGATGTGGAAGCGGTGGTCGTGGATGCCAAGGGGATGTTCGAAACGATCAAGTCTGTCGGGCAGCTGGACGCCGAAGGTGAACAAATCAACCCTGGGGCAACCTTCTCAGGCAAATCTCACAAAATCGCCTGTATGGCCTGCAAGATCAATCTGTGTGATTGCGTGTAAGTCCATCCATCCCATAAACCTTCATTCATCCTCGCCCCTGTCCTGCCCCGTCCTGCCATTCACTGTTCCGCAAGAGATGTTTCACTAACGTTGTCATACATTCGCAGTCTCCGCCCCTGTAATCATATGTTCTGTGCCTCCTGCGTCCAGCGGACCATGACATCCCTGCACTCCGGTATCAGCAACTGCAGACTCTGTGGTCGCCAAGTTGAGCGAGTCATCGGCTTCTCAGCGCCCATGGCTCTCCCGGGCCACGAAACCATCGACCTGACCAGAACAACGGTACATGTCCTTGGCCCAATGACTGGAGATGCCGCTTTCACGCCAAAGGCCTGGTATGAAGTGACCGATGCGATTGAATTGCCTTAGCAGTGTCGCGAACAATCATGCAACTGGCGTTTCGAGCGGGTGCATCACGTCTATACCGCGCGCAACATACTGCCACATGTGGAGGAATGGACATTCATTCGTTGCGAAGCTACGATCACGCATCGGGAGCGGAAATGGATCTAGGATACTCGAGTAAGGTATTCTGAATATCCAACATTCGCCCCAGCATTCACAAGTGGATGTAATGACATGGGTCAGAATGTTGGTCCTCATATCAAACAAGCTCTCACAACTGCGAGGATTGCAGCCTTGGGATTTCCAATATTTTGAAAACGCCTTCCCTACCACCAGATCCGCGCGATGTTGTGGCCACGTCAAGGGAAGCACTGCTTGCCACGGTCACACTTAACCGCTTACTGTGAAATGATCCATCACTCTCCCTTCTGTGACACGAGAACAATCCCACGATTTACGACTGATGAGGGACATCTTGTATCTGCGATTAATATAGGAATGAAGTCCTTACCATATCGAAGAACACATATCAAACTGAACCCCTTTCTTGTGTTTTTATTGCCTTCCTATCTCCCTAACGACGATCGAAGAGCCCGCTTCGCCATGACCGACTTACCGTGCCCGTGCATGGGTTCGCTCTTACAGTACTGGATCACACTCCACGGGTCGTGGGCCAGCTGCAACTTACTGCAATGATATCCCAGGTCAAGGCCTAGATCCCGAGGGGTCTAGTTAGGTCTAGAGAGCCAAACACCAGCAGCTCAACGTCCCCTGGCATACGCTCGAGGAGGCTGACGAGGCCGTCGGTCCCAAGACGCCATGTTTTCCCAGACTTGTGACGCACCATCCATGTCGTCGTCGTGGTGGCGGTGGCGGCGGCGGTGCGCGCGATGGTGGGACTCGCTCGGCCACTGGCTCGCGTAGTGAGCTTCGTAGTCGTCGTCGCCACCGCCGCCGCCGCCGCATCCACCGCGACAAAGACAGAGCAGGAGGGCGAGAACGACGACGACGCCGGCGATGATGCCGATGGTGACACCTGTACTGATGGCCATGATTGATGCTTCGTTCTTTTCTTTTGGTCTCAGGACCCCTAAGCGCTGTACTTACTGTAATCAATCAGTTCTGGATGTTTGCGAAATGGACGAGTCTGTGCCGGTATTTAGACGTTGAAGAAGGACTATAAATATGTAGACGGGAAAGCAGCTGCCCGCGTGGTGGGCAGAAGGATTCTAGGGACGAGCGAGCCTTTTGTAGTCACCTCTTTGTCGCTTCGTGAGAGAGCTGCTTCGCTGGCTGGAAGGGGTACGAGTGAACCTGAGCAAGGGGGATATGTTGGACTGCATGTCGGAAGGGGAGAAAGAGGCAACTGTCGAGAACAATGGCGCAATGTTCCAACAAAGGCGAGGCGGGTGGGAGAGGGACAAAGACTCGACATTGGACGACGGAGCAAAGGACAAAGGAAATGTCAATGGACGACAGTGCCAACTGTGCGCGCTGAACGCGAACAAAGTATGTCCATGCTGCCTTGAGAGCAAGACATCGAGCAGATCAAGTAGAATGACTAGCTTCCCTCCAAGCGATGAAAACAATGAAGTGAACGGGCTCGTCAGTTTCATTGTGGGCAGAAGTCGAAATCAACCCAACCATATTCGAGATAGAGCAGTCTGATCCAAGTGTCGCGGCAGCTGTTCACGACCTGATCTTTGTCCGTGGACGGGGATATCAGACACCGTACAGAGCTCCAAGTAGGACGAAAAGTCAAGCCAAGATGGTTCCAAGACTGTCTACGTTAATTATCTACTAGATTTGTACGAGCACAGCCAACACAGTACACGCACGGGCTATGATGGCATTCCACCTGTCACCCGCCTTACTAGGGGATGTCTTGAATGGAGGTCCATGCGGCTTGACGCCGTCGAGCACACTGACACGGTAATTGGCGGTGCACCTCTCCGTGGATGCATAGAGACTTTTCAAGTCTTTATGGTGGATTTATGCCTGGACGAGGCGTAGAAGCCCGTTTATGATGGATTGTGCCTTGTGGCAAGACTAGATCTAACGGATGTACAGTACGGAGTACTGTAGGATGGAGGCCGATTTTCCATAGTAGCGACCACTTGCGATTCCGAATGTCTGGTGAGCGAAGGACTTCAGTGAAGGGTGTCTGTGATGGGGAGGGACGTCGGTGGCAGTAGACACCCTACTATAAAATGAATCTGGGGCACACCTGAACTAGGTGCTGACGGCGCCGACGTCGTTCGAACTGCTGTCTCAGTACCCCTTATAACAGCCGTGAGGATCCCTGAAGTTCAAACACCACCACGGTCCACCGCCATCAGCACCCACCTCTTTATTTAGAAGCGACTCATCGACTTTAGTCGACGTACTTCTCCACGAACTCCCCGCCCCAGCCCTTCAACACCACCTTTAGCAGATCCTCCTTTTCGACTTGCTCTCTCCGGCTTAAGAGCTCTTCCAGATCCCAATTAGCCCAGACAAACCTGCCCTTCAAGAACGCCGCATCCGTCTCCGCCTTGGCAGCAAGCCACACGCACCAATGTGCAGGTAATCGTACGTCGTCCTTTGCAAGATCTCTATGCCCCTTCTTTGCCATTGCAGTAGGGATTTCACCTGGTTGGAGGTTGAATACCGCCAGGGTCTGGAGGTTTTCAGCCTGAAGAAAGTCGAAAATGTGCCATGCAGCAAGTTTCGAAGAGGCATATGCAGAGAACGGGGCCACAATATGGGGAGGTAAATGGGCAGCTCCCGTGGAGATATTGATGATCACGGGTTTGGGGGTGACCGACTCGGTTGGAGTTGCAGTGGAGGATTGCAATTGAGGTTGAGTCTTCAGAAATGCTTTGGCGACTACCAGTGCGCCTTTGACGTTTGTTTCGAAGCATTGCCAGTAATCATCAAGGTCGGATTCAGCGATCAGGGAGTATTTGTCCAGATAGCCGGCGTTCGAAACGAGGACATCAATCCCGCCGAACTTCTGAACCACCTGGGAGAAGACGTCGTCGACGGCTTTCGAGTCTGCAACATCGGCGCAAAAGGCAACACATTCAAAGTTGCGGTTGTTCTGGACCCTGGCCGCTTCTTCGATTTCTGATTTCGCACTGTTGAGCGAGGATTGTGTCCTGCCTGTAATTACCACGGCTCGTGCTTTTGCCTGCGCAAATGCTATAGCGGTTGCTTTCCCAATCCCTGACCCCCCACCGGTGATGAGTACAGTCTTGTTTTCAGCAGAGAGTGAGGGAGTCAGAGGATCCATGATGGTGGCAGGCGAATGATGCCATGTTGGGGTAAAGGAAGGAAACTTAGACATGTCGCATAGGACGGTCGAACCGAGTTGAACCGAGTCTCGGTACCAACGTGGGGAAAGCGGTAAAGCTGTTGCGATTGTTCTGGTTCTTCAGGTGAAGATGCTCAAGTGGCGTTCAAGCTTGGACATCTCCTTATTACGAGGAGGACATCGTTGATTTTATACTTGAATCTTGCCACGCCGAGAGGGCAGCAGAATACTGAGGTCCGATGTAGTCCAAAGACTGTGGGTAGGTGTTGTGACTTCCATCTCCACCAAGGCTCAGCCATACATCGACGGCGCTAGCGCAAGGAGGAATGCAAGGGACAGCACGGAGTATCTGTATGTCAAATCCGTATGATGGGGACGCATTGGCGATCCTGAGAACGCATGCCATTGCCGTCGGCTTACCACAGTGTGGATGGGCGTCATAAGCCAGTAAGCCAGGCTCGGCGAACTTCTGAGTAAGCCAGCTTCCAGCGGACCATTTTCGGACGATTGGCCCGGCTATGGCTCGTGGTATTCTGCAATGGGGGGAGATGAATCTCCTCTGGCTGCTGTAATGGGAGCAAAGGTTATGGCTTTCGATGTTGTATTCGCTCCGACGTCACAACCATCTGTTAAGGGATGACAACTCCTCCATGTCGAGATCGTCGGGTTTCCTGGGCGCAGTTATCGACAATCGGGAAAGGTATATAGCGGTCCCATCTGTGCAGATCCGCGGCGCTAACTTGGCCCTTCATCAATGTCGAGCATTTGCAGGAATGCTGTAGCCCCGTGTCATGAAGTCGCCCTTATTCATCACCTTGTCATCTGACTTCTTTGTGTACAAAGAACTGATATTATCATTCTCACGTCGTCTCTTTTTCCTGGCTTCTTCTTCCTCGAGCACTCGGGCAGTAAGACTGGCGGTTGCTGCATTTTTAATGCCGCTCGACGGTTTCGGAGTGGAAGCACCAGACTGAGGCGTAGCTGACCGGGACATGTTGCCTGCGACTGACTTGGGTTCCTCGTTCGCCTTCTTGTCGTGCATGTCCGGACCATTTGCGACGGATTCAATTTTGCTGTCACCGTTCGCTTTGCGCTTCTTGCTTCCGCTGGCTTTCTTGAGAGAGTGGGTGAGACCGAGAGATCTCAAAGTCTCGATCCGTTCCATCACGGATGCCTTGTCTTTCTCCGTGCTGGGCAGGATAGGGATGACGTCTCGCTCTTCGTATGGTGTCGCACACTGTACACATTTCCCCTCGCTCTTCATCTCCTTGATTGCTTCGTGGGAGAAAGCATGGCCGCAAGGGACGAGATAGACTGCCTGCACGTTCGGCCCCAGTGGTTTTGAGGTAACAGGGCAGATCCATCTCTCCGATCGGGTCTTTTCGTCATATTCGGTCTCAAAAAGCACTTCGACAACATCCTTTAGACTCTTGATTCGTCCTTGGATAAACTTCTCGTACTCCTCTTTATCCACAGAACTTGCTTCGATAGGCAGCAGAAATTGTATGATGGCGTCTTTGTTGTATAGATCGCCCGAGTAATCGGAGACCACAGGCTTAATGAGCGGTTTGAGAGAGACAGGGCATGTAGACCATCGATGAGCCAGGTGCTCTTTTTGCTTCTCTTTCAGTTCTGTCGCGGTAGGATTTCGAGCGGCCTCCTTGACGAGCTCGCGTCGTGTAGGAATGCTGACACACGTCAGCACATGTCACGCATAGCGATGCAGAAGAACTCACCTTCCTCCGTCATTCCCCATGCTGCGAGACTCTTCGGGGTGGTGTATAGGACTGATGCGAAAAGGAAGCAAGTCACGCCCATAGAAGCCTTGTGGTCGGTGTCGGGCTACTTTCTGTCCCGCCACGCACCCAACGATGAAAGGTTCCCCTCACTTTCGCCTCCATTTCACTTTCATTTCACAATTACAGGTTCCTAACAAGCTCTTTACGGAACGCCTGATGAGACTCGGAGCTGGTCGTTTCTATAAGTGACGGGCTTTGATCGAATGCCTTGACTATGTCCGCTCATTTCTAAGCATCCGATCTCTGTTTGGCATTCCCGCTGGCGCAAGTCAGGGCAGATTGCAAACCCAGGCCTCGAAAATGCGGAGAACCTCAGGCACAATCGCAGAGAAATGCACACCAAGCAGAAATCCGGCTCTCGCTCGTGCCATGTGGAGCGGAACCACTCCTCTGACGGGCTTAGCGGAGATGAGGTCGATCAACTCCACGGACAGGCGAAGCGGGTTGACGAATATCTGCAAGGGCTGAAATACCGTTAATGGTGATATGATAATGACGTGACGAAGACAGATTCCAGCTCTGATTGATCAAACGAGACATTATCGGGGTCATTTCTATCGACGGGCTTTTCACCGACAACTGCCGAGTTATCAGTGCCCTCGAAAAATCTATATAAACAATCCCATGCTGCGTGTTCGGTCGAGTCTTGTCAAGTCCATTCGCCCTCAACAGACTCAAATACGTCCGCAATCCAGAAGGCATTATCGTCCCATCTTCGACAACATGAGAGTCCTCTTGACTGGCGGTTCAGGCTTTATCGCCGCTCACTGCGTCGACTACCTCCTCCAGCATGGCCACAGCGTTGTGTTCACTGTGCGCTCAGACGAGAAGGGTCAAAAGATTCTGAAGAACCACCCCGACCAGCCCAAGAGTAAGCTCAGCTATGTGATCGTGGGAGATATCGCCAAGGAAGATGCCTTTGACGAAGCAGTCAAGTCAGATCCTCCCTTTGAAGGAGTTCTACACACCGCATCGCCGTTTCACTTCAACGTGACAGACCCCAAGAAAGACCTGTTAGACCCGGCCATCATTGGCACGACGGGGATTCTTAAAGCCGTCAAGAAATACGCACCCACCGTCAAGCGAATAGTCATCACTTCATCATTCGCCGCCATCCTCAACGCAAGTAAGCATGAGAAGGTCTACTCCGAGAAGAACTGGAACCCAATCACCGAAGAGGAAGCGATCCAGAACCCCGCAAACGCATACCGCGCGTCGAAAACGTTCGCCGAGCGCGCAGCGTGGGAGTTTGTGGAGAAGGAAAAGCCCAACTTCGACATCGCGACCATCAATCCTCCGCTCGTGCTAGGACCTGTCGTCCACTACCTGAACTCCCTCGACAGCATCAACACGTCCAACGAGCGCGTGAGGAACATGATCCAAGGACGAACTAAGGAGTCCGGCTTGCCCCCCACAGGTGTCTTCATCTGGGTGGATGTGCGGGACGTTGCCCTCGCTCATGTCAAGGCCCTCGAGGTCCCCGAAGCAGGCGGGAAGCGCTTCTTCGTCACAGCAGGTCACTACTCGAATGCTGAGATCGCCGAGATTATCAAGAAGGAGTTCCCTGACCTCGCTGACAAGCTCCCGGCCGAGATTAAGAGCGATAAGCCTGCTGACGTCTATGAGGTCGACAACTCGAGAAGTAAGCAGGTGTTGCGATTGAAGTACAAGACTCTGGAAGAGAGTGTCAAGGATACAGTGAAGTCGTTGCTGGAGGTCGGCGCATGAGAGAGCGTGGAGAGATATCGAGTCTACGGATCCATTTTTTCTGCCATTGGCAGCGCGACATAGAGATACAAGGCTCTCAATATAGAGGTTCCAGTGCAATGCAAGATCCCCGTGTATCAACGTTAGCCTCCAGTCCAACTGACTTAGCATCTAAGGAGTCGCACACACTTGTAGCGCTGAATTTGAGGTTTCCAAGGCACGATCCACAACCATGTGGCACTTGACGAGCGAAGTATTGGTTGATGGACCTCATCCGCATGGTGTGGACTATTCGCGACCACGATTCGACGCAGACGGGAATAGTAGCACGACAGGCTCGCAAGATGGGTTTCTTTCGTACCGCGGCAGACAGACCGGATACAAAGCTAACATGCTGAAGGCTAATATGTTCAAGGCTAACATATTCAAGGCTAACATGTCGGTCGTGAGCAAAATTAGAACACACACATACCTTCAGGGGGTCATTCGGAGGCCGAATTGTAAAAGACATACGGCGTACGGAGTATAGGAAGCGAGTCTGCCGTACTGACAGAGGACATGGTCCCGCGCCAGCATACACCTCAGCAGTACGGGGCCGAGGGAGTGTTGCTGAGGAGAGTCAGCGGCTATCGTTTCTCAAGGCGTTGTGCTTTCCAATTTATTCATTGATAATTACAAATTCATCATGTATGCTCTTAAACTACGACCATGTTACCGGGCGTTTTCGCGCGCGTCTGACGCCCTCCTGTCCCCAAGCACATCGCCGTACAGGGTCCCTCCAGAGCTGGCTCATACGGACATTATTGACACTACTACAACGCAATGAAGACGGACTTGAGCTCGGTCCAGTAGTCTGTCGAGTACTTGCTCAACTCGCGGCCGTCGCCGCTCTGCTTGAAGCCACCGAAGGGCATGTCGATGGCCATGGTCGGGCTCGTGCAGTTGACGCCGACGGAGCCGGCCTCGAGGAGCTTGGCGACGCGCAGGGCGCGCGAGATGTCCTTTGTGAAGACGCTGGCGTACAGGCCGTACTCGGTGTCGTTGGCGCGGCGGAGCACGTCCTGCTCGTCGGTGAAGGTGTTGACACACACGACGGGGCCGAAGATCTCCTCCTTCATGACCTTGGAGTCCTCGGGCGCGTTGGCGATGATGGTCGGCTCGATGAAGTAGCCCGTGGTGCCTTCGCGGCCGCCGCCGATGGGCACGTCGAGCTTCTGCTCCTTGGCGTAGTTGAGGTAGCTCATCACCCGGTCGAACTGGATCTTGTCGGCCTGGGGCCCGCGTCGCGTGCCCGCCACCGTGGCGTCGCCCGACGCCCCCATCTGCACCATGGCCGTCTTCATCGCGTCCATGAACTGGTCGGCGATGTTGGCGTGGACGTACACTCTCGACGACGCGATACACGCTTGGCCCGAGTTGGCCAGGATGGAAAATGCGGCCGCGGGGACAGCCTTTGCCAGGTCGGCGTCGTCGAAAATGACGAGCGGGCTCTTGCCGCCGAGCTCCAGCGTGACGTTCTTGAGGTTGGACTCGGCGGCCGCCTTCTTGACGGCGCGGCCGGCAATGACGGAGCCCGTGAAGGACACCTTGCGGATGTCCATGTGTTTGGCGATGGCTTCGCCGCAGGGTCGCCCGAAGCCGCTCACAATGTTCAAGACGCCCTTGGGCAGGCCGATCTCCTGGCAGAGCCGGCCGACCACGAGGCAGGACAGAGGCGATTTCTCCGACGACTTGAGGACGAGCGTGTTGCCACTGGCGAGAGCGGGGCCGACCTTGTTGACCAACATGAGGAGCGGGACGTTCCAAGGGATGATGGCACCGCAGACGCCGAAGGGCTGACGGAAGGTGATGTTGACGAAATCTTTGGTGTTGAGCGACGAGTCGCCCTGAACGTCGAGCGCTCTGCTGGCGAAGTATCGGAGGATCTGGACGGCGACGTGACCGAAGACTGGAAGAGGTCAGGAATACATCCGATTTCTAACCAAATGGTGGCGGCACGGGCACTCACAGTCGCCAATGTATGGCTTGCCCATGCTGATGGCTTCCAGGTATCCGATCTCCTCCAAGTTCTTCTCCATGGCGTCGGCTAATTTCTCAACGTATGCTTGTCTATCAGACGCCGACAGCGCTGACCAGGCAGGGAAAGCAGCTTTGGCGGCCTCAACAGCTTCGTCGACATCCTCAGCCCCGGCCTCATAGACGGATGCGGCGAACTTCTCATTGTTCGGGTTGATAATGTCGAACTTCTTCCCGGACTTTGAAGGGACAAACTCGCCATTGATGAACAGACGGTCTTCAATGTGCTTGGGCTTGTAACCCTCAGTAGGGGCGTCGGTGGTCGCTGAAGGGGCCATGTCTGACGAATGCTAAGTGCGAAGTGGTCTGGATGAAGATGAAGATGCTGGTCGCGGTGCTGGTCGACTGCGTGTTCAGAGAAGTCAGTGACAAGCAAGCACCTGAAGTTCTGGGGACAGCGAGGGATTATATACACCCGGCACTCCCGACCGACTCGAGGGCGGCTTCGAGGAAAGATCGCTCCCTCCCGCAACGGTCACCAGTCATCGTCTACCAAAGCTCCCAACGGGTCTAGCGACATGTCCATCAGCAAGGCCAGAAGCATCCAAGCCTTCGGCTTCAATTCCGCCGGCATCGACCGAAGCTGGCCAAGAGAATCTGACGCAGAATTCGTGTGCGAAGAGTACCTTGTACAGGAGCATATTCCTGAAGCAACGAGCCATCGTGAAATCGACCAAACGAGAGACACGAGCTCTACCGCCGGACCCCATCCTTGGTCCCACTACCCCGCCGGAGGGTAGGGTCCTGGAAAGCCCCAACTGGCAAGCGAATGGCATGTCAGCGAGTTACATGCGTTGGTCCCGATCTGGCTGGGCAAAGTGTCGTTCCAGCCAGGTCCTGTACGACACAGGTAAGCAGTAGCGCAACATGGCGGGCCTAACGAGGCTGTGGAGTCTCGGTTGACACCCGTGCTTATTGTGTGACACGACTACGAGGTAAGCAGGGGTTAACACGGTATTGCGCTACTGGCCACGAGAGGCTTATTCATCCAGTGGCCAGTATTGGTGGTATCGTCCGAGTCACGCCAGGAAGAATTTGATATATGTAGCCAAGGCTTCAGCCGGTGGTGAGGGCTGAAGGCCATGGATCGGCTGGCCGTGGCATCGATTTCGTACACCGCCGCTGTCGGTGACAGATTGAGGGTTACATGAGGACAAGAAGTGGTTCGCGTCCT